TTACATGCCAACGGAGATGGAGCTGACTGAACTGGGCCAACAAGTCCGCATGAACTGTGAGCCCAGGAGGTGGGAGGGATGGATGGATTGGAGGAGCTAAGGGTGGGAATGAGGTGGGAGAACTAAGGGTGGGGATGGAGGTTGAGAATATGTTTGAGAGTAGAGTGGTAGGTAAGTGAGACTAGAAGTCTGGAAGAAAACAGTCCAGGGAGCATTTGAAGTGGTTGCCAGGATGACTTTTTGAGACAGATCAAGTACAAATTCCAGTTCTATTATTTACTAATTGTGCTCATTTTGAAAAGTGGATTGTTCCCTCCTCTTGGGTCTCAGTTTCCTTATGGATCAGATAAGGACATCATCACTTCTTATTCAGTAATATTGTGGAAAGGAAGGGGTAAAAATGCGCATGCAGGTAAATATGTGGCCTCCAGTGAATTATTATTAAATATGGGTTATTACCATCACCATTAAGGTTTATCAGTGAAGTGCAAGAACAGAGATGTATTGGATGTTGGAAACACACTTGGAGCCAGACCCAATATTGGCACATAGCATGGCAAAAGGATAAATTTTTAGATGGACAGAAAAGCTGATTTTGAGATTAAAGCTGGAATCAAACTGCTATTGGGTTTACTTCTGGTCATATAACTGAGATGGCAAGGTTGAATTCAAGGTGATAATAATACAGTCAGATCTCTGTATCTATTGGTTCCACATTTCCGGATTTGACCAATGGCAAATGGAAAATGTTTTTTTGGGAAAAAAACTATTTGTACTGAACATGTTTGTAGGGAAAACTCCACTTTCTCTTCCTTGTCTTAGCATTCTACAAATAATGCCAATAATCTAGAGATGATTTGAAGTATTTGGGAGTCTCACAAAGGTTATATGCAAACGCCATGTATTTTCTGAAAAGGATTTGAACACCTACAGATTTTGATATCCACTGAGGAGTCTTGTGACTATGACCCATTTGACCAAGAAGACTGCTGGATGAATCTGGAAGAGACTCAAGTGGACGTTTAATTGAAAGTCCCCCTTTTAAAAATCTACCGATGAGGGACCATAGATGTGAAACAATTAAGAAGTTTGCCAAAGTTCACATGGACATTATTTACCTCCTCCATGCATGCCCTGTCCACCTGTCCAGCCTGGTTCAGATTAGAGGAATACAAAAGCTTCAGTTATCTGAGTAGAGTGAGAATGTTAAAGAAAGCACTAGAAGCTAGAGAGATGGGAAGTGATCTGTTTTTTTTTTAAACAACTTAAAGGACAAAGAAAGAGCATGGATGATAGCATATAGAGTCCTATTAACCCCACCTCTGCTATCCTCAGTGGGTGGCCGTGTAGACTTTGAAGACTTTGTGGAGTTGATGACCCCCAAATTACTTGCAGAAACAGCTGGGATGATCGGTGTTCAGGAGATGCGAGATGCCTTCAAGGAGGTGAGCTGAGTTCTCTGGTACTGGTGTAGAACACAAAGGTATATTATTAATCATTGCCATGGACAGAACCCACCAAAACTTTTTTTTTGCCTAGCCATGATAGGAAGAAAATAATATATTCTAAATAAAACACTGGTAATGGACCCGGCAGCTTCTACCCATTTTATTCAATTTGACCCTCACAAGTTAATATCACGAGTAAACAGTCATTTATCCCAGTATTACAGATAAGCTATCTGAGGCTCATGGAGATTAAAAGTCCTATCAGAGATTATTCTCCAAAATGAATGTTAAGTTCTCTGATTTAAAAAAAAATGTACAAAAATATATTAACTGAAATTATAGCAGAAGAATTTCCAGATCTACAAAAGGACTTGATATTTTTTAAAGAGGAAAAAAACTAAAACAAAAATTCAAAACAAGATAATTAGAAGGTAATAATGGTTAATACATGTGTATTTTTATCTTTTTTATTTTTGGTACCAGAATCAAATTGCAGATCTCATGCTTGCCAGGCTGGCGAGGTGCCAATAAGCTGTATCCCCAGTTCCTCATATTCTTATTTTTAAAGTAATTACTCAGAGTACAAATCATCTGCATTTAATTGTCCAAGCAATATTAGCACAAACTTTTCTTTTTAATGAACTAAGAGGAATCAGTAGTATAGCTATCTTAACTACCTTTTATACATACATATATATTTCTTTCAGTTTCTCACACTAGGAAAGGTCTCTGATCTCGGTATCTTTCACAGGAAAAAGGAAACTAGGAATTTCAGATTCCCAGGATTTGTCTTGTTTAAGCTACACCCTGTAGAGATGCTTAAATGTAAGACACTAGCTTGTCTCCTCTGATGAAATATTTCCCTCATCAAAAACTTTCAAATATTCAAGGCAAAAACAAAACATTGCCTTGGAAACAAAGACTTTGGGACCAGGCAACCACAGACTCAAATCCTGGGATGTTTCTACTTATAGTTGTGTGATCTCCTAGCTTTCTATAAAGATCGACAGGTGGATCATCCAATAGAAAGTTTTGTGATCACAGAAACGCACTGTCCAAAACAGTGGCCACTGTTTATACTTAATAACTGAGCCCTTGAATGTGACTAGTGTGACTGAGGAAGTACATTTTTAAAAATCTAACTCCTAAAGCTTTATTCTTTTTATGCTAATTGAATTACTTATTTTATATTGTATGTGTTTGTCATATATAATGTTTATGTTCCTTGGGAGGACTTGCTGCATGTGCATAACACCTATGCTATTTCTTTTCAATGGATTTCAATCAAATTATTTATTTATTTGGTACTGGGAATCAAACTCATAACTTTGTGTGTGCCAGGCAGGTGCTTGTGCCACTGTGCTATACTCCTAGCTCCCAAGCAAGTAACTTTTTTGTTTGTCTTTTTTTTTTTTTTTGTCTTTTTCATTTTTATTGGTACCAGGGATTGAACTCACGACTGCCTGCTTGCAAGGCAGGCGCTTATGCCGCTGAGCTAAATCTCCAGCCCCCCAAGCAAGTAACTTTTTAAACTCCCATTTACATGCAGTTGATACTTAGTCTAAGTATTGGGGCATAATTCATTTAAATTTAAAAATGACTTTCATTTATAGAAAAATTTCATTTGGAACAACTTAGATATGAGAATTTGTCTTTTCAATTGTAAATTTTGTGATGGAACCTTTATTCAGATCAAGTGTTTGTGGTAAAAATCAAGTGGTCAAATGTAAAATACATGCTGAATAAAAGCTTAGTATTCTTTGTAAATATATGTGTATACTTCAGTGTTTACCTAAGTATACTAAGTAGTGTAGTATACTAAGTATACTACATAGTGAGATCAAGATCAGCCTGGATTACACAGAGTGAGAACCCTTTCTCATGAAAACCAAACTAATAAATATTAATTTCATGTTTTTGTTAATTGGTGCTAGACATTGAACTTCATGTTCAACTGGGGCCTCAAGTATGCAATTTACCACTAAGCTGCATCCTTATTCCCTATCTTTTCTTTTTATGTGACTACTAGAAGGTTTAAAATTGCCTATGAGGCTCATGCTGGACAGAGACACTCTGGGGAGGTTCTGTCTGGGAACCAGCGCACAGAAATGCTGTGAGGCAGGAAGGTACATGTGTTGAAGGAGGAGTAGCATGAACCAGAGGGAGCACACTGTGAAGTAGATGAGCTCTCAGAATTGCAGAGGCACAGATCATTGCAGCTATGTCAGGTTTTGCTCTGAATGGCACAGGAAGCTGCTGGAGGATTTTAAGCCAGGGTGTGACAAGATTGTGCATGGCAAGACTGTGAATATTCATATGTGTACAGATCCTACTGGGACCATGACAGCATCCAGAAGAGCATTAGGGAGACTGTCAGCTGATTGTGGATTGAGCCAGTTTAACCTGGTCAGGAGGGTAATTGGCCCCGGATGTATTCAAAAGATAAATTTCTTAGATTTGCTGGTAGATTGGCTAGGGAAAAGATATTCAGGAGAAAGTTGAGTATAGTTTATTGATTCAGTAAATATTTATCCAGTGCCCATTATGCAAAAATATTTGTCCTTCTGTGTCTGGATTGTTTCACCTAGCATAATGACCTCTGGATTCATTCATTCTCTTTTATGGCTAAATAATACTCATTGTATTAGTGGATCTACAGAAGAAAAATGTTACATGATTCCATTCATATGATGTTTCTAAAATAATCCAATTCATAGAAGCAGAAATGAAAGGCTTTTTGCCAGGCATTAGAGGGCATTAAAAGAAGATTGTTATTCAATGGTAAAAAGTTTTAGTTATACAAGTTTATTCCCGTGATCTGCTGCTTCACAGAGCATACAATTAACCGTGCACTTAAAAGCATAAGAGGAAAGATCTCATATTCAGTGTCTTCCCACAAAAACCACAGCATTATAAAGCAAAACAAAAAACAATCAAATGAAATTAAGAGATTCAAGGATACTTTTGGAGGTGCTGTATATGTTTATTATTCTAACTAAGGAGGTTTTACAAATGTATGCATAGATCCAAACTCGTTGATTTATGTGTATTAAATGTGTGCAGATTTTGTTTGCTTTATTTTAAGCAGTAAACCTGCTTAAACTAATTAAGATATACATAAACTTTTTTTTTTTTTTTTTTAGTACCAAGGATCAAACTCATGACCTCGCACTTGCCAGGCAGGCGCTTATGCCACTAAGCTAAATCCCTAATCCCATACATAAACTTTTTTAAAGAAACCTCTCCTTGACTTTTGGATGTTCTAGTGGACAAGGTACCTGCAGCTCTCAGCCTGGTTTTTAACCCTCAGGAAGTGATCCATAAGCACGGACTGTCACTGCTGTTGTCATCATAGATATTGCTAATTCAGTCCTTTCTGCCTCTATTCAGTTTGATACCAATGGAGATGGGGAGATCACCCTGGGAGAGCTGCAGCAGGCCATGCAGAGGCTTCTGGGAGAAAAGCTCACACCCCGGGAGATTGCCGAGGTGGTTCAGGAAGCTGACATAAATGGAGATGGCACCGTTGACTTTGAAGGTGAGTGCGGGGCAGCTGCTGAGGGAATTCACTTCTGACTCCCAGTGTGGTTTTCCAGATTGGCCACTACTTCCAACTTTGCTCCAAGTTTGATGATCTTGGAGGCAGATATATTTCAGAATTCTTCACTCCATCCCTTTCTGATCTATAGTCAGCAGGGTTCTGTGTCTCAACTCCTCAAAGCTCATGGAACCCCTTGCCCAGAGGTTCTTATTCACCCATAATCAGGACTCACAGCCACATCTCCTATCTCTTTCTGCCTTCCTGGGGACCTGGCTTCCTACGAGCAAAATGTCCCACCAGAAGGAGAGTGGCCTGTCTAGTAGCTGATATTCTTGGGACAGATTCATGGACTCGAAATTCAGCACCATCACCTACTAAACATGTGGCTTTATCTGGTAAACCATTTGCTTTTCATGTTTGCTTTCTTCAAGATGGGGATAACCATGACAACTTTCTCTTAAGTCTTTGAATAAAACAAAAATAAATCATGCATAATTGTCACAGATAAAAAACTGGAAGTTTGTATGTGTTCTCTCATTGTTCATGTCATGCTTTCTGTCTAGAGAGCCATCCTTTCCCCTGGTTAAATCATATTTATGTCTATGTCAGAGTACTGGGCTCAGTGTCCCTCCTCTATGCTCCTGCCCATGCCTGTGGAGGCCTCTTTGGAAACACTATGCTATGACATCACCATAATTTGAAAGAGGTTATTTCCTGTTTGTTCCTGAGGCCGTACCCTAATTATCTTCTCATCACTATAGCCCCAATTCTTAGCCCAGAACTCAACACGTGTTTATTGAATAATTGGATAAATCAAGATAGGAGTTCTGTGTGAATTGGCATGGGGATTACTTATGTGAAAGTCAAAAATCAGGGAGGCTGAGTTCTGATTGTGACACTTCCTGGTCCAGAGCTTAGTGTCTAGCTGCTGCCTATGAATAAACATCCAAAAATCTTAATCAGCTATTCAAATGCATGCATCATTCAGCCCCAGCCACCCACCTAGCCATATCATCTGCAACTGTACTTTAAATCGTTATGTTTTGATGCAAGCCTGAAATCAGCACTGTGCTCCTCAAGGTTGGTTCCTTTGCAGCTGATATTCTGACCCTTTACTATATACTCTCAGTTCTTGTGCTCCCTCAAGGACACACACCAACCTCTATTTGCTAAGCATTTCCCTTCCCCTTAGCTGAGTACATAACTCCCAGGCCTGGAGCCATATAGAAGTTTCTCAGTTCCTCTCCATGGAAATTGTTTTGTGTTTGTCTCCATGACTGTATTTGCCAACATCCCAGGGGGCAGTGGAGGAATCTTCTCTAAACTGTGTCTGCTATACAAGCCCCCAGATAGAAATGCAGTGGATGTTTGTTGGGAATTTTCTGGGTCTAGTGAGGCTCAGGTGCATAGTGGACATTCATGAAAATCAAGGGGTGAAGTGGGGCTGAGAGACAGACCTTTGAGTGATCCACAGACAAAAGGACAGGGTCACCTCAAGATGTGGCAGAGCCAGCAAACGCAACTGGCCTGGAGTCACAGTGTAGTCCAAGGCAACCTACATTCTTCCAGGGTTTGCCATTCATGGTCCACATTCAATCAGGCACAATGGTTACTCTTACCAGCCTCAGTTTCCTTATGTGTAAAATGGCACCTTTCCAGGACAGTTGAAAACATGAAATAAAATACTAACCATTACTGTTTATGGAATGTTTAACTTGTCTTACTAACATTATATCATTTAACCATCTTAAACACCATATGTGGGAAATGGTGATTCTGTGAGCCCCTGTTTAGAGATGAGGGAATCGAGGCATAGAAAGGTAAAATAATTCCTCAAGGATCCATGTCATTGTTTGGCACATAGGAAATGTTCAAAAAATAATGTTGGCTGCTGTATAAAGAGGCACCTGATGGGAACTTTTGTTTGCAGAGTTTGTGAAAATGATGTCTCGTTGAGGAGGTCCTGGAAGGTCCAGATGTTTTCTGCCTGGCAACATGGATGAAATGCTTGTGGAAGACTGAATCTCCATGGCCCCTTGCGTGGCAGAATGTGGGACGGTGGAGCAAGTGGCCTTGCACCAATATGGAGGAGGTGACAGTGAAGGCAGTAGCTTGTGGGATGAGGATGGGAGTCAGGCATAAAACCAGCTTCAGAAAGAAGAGCCCATGTATGAAATATCAGCATACTAAGGCCCAGTGGCTATTTGCAAAAGACCAAAGATTAATAACACTTTCCCCCTCATACAGCCCTAAATTCCTGACACCTGCCAGAGTCCCTTCCCTAGCTTCACCTTTACACTCAAGTCTAGACTTCAGCTTCTGCAGGAGGGAATACACCAGTCCTGGGGAGAGAAACTGGGGTCTTGGTACTGCTGGACTTGGAAAGGGACATTAGGAAGCCTCAAGGGGGGCTTTCCTGAGTTCCTGGAAGCATAGTCTATTTTTTCCCTTCTGACCTCTCCCTTCTCTTGGTGTAAGATCCTCAGGGGAACTGAATTAAATCACAAAGCTGGATTATGAAGGTTTAGGGCAAGCTGATCCTCCCTGGGGAATTAATCCCCTACAAAATATGATGGAGAGAGAAAGAGAAAGAGAGAGAGAGAGACAGAGAGACAGAGACAGAGAGAGGGACAGAGAGACAGAGAGACAGACAAAGAACAGGGACAGAGACAGAGAAACACAGGATCCTCCAAATCCCCTGCTTAACCAGCTGATTGAAAAGCCAGTCCTGGAGGTAACCTGCCTCCATGCTGGTCCACCCTGGGATGCTGTAGAAAAGTCTCCGAGTTATATGTGAAGTGTGCTCCACCCCACACATCCTGCTATTGCTCTGTGCTGTGATACTGAAAAGATCACTCCTCCACTTGAGAACAGTACACCTCAGCGATGTCCAGTTCCTCAAAATAAAGACTTCATTTCACACCTTCCTCTAACTTTTTTCTCACTTCAAAGTCTGTGAAGTGGGTGTATAGATTGGGTTGTTTGATTCAACAACCTTGGTTTATAGAATTAAATGTGGAATCAAAATAATATAGTTTCTAACTTCTTACCTTTGGAAACTCTTTTTGTGTTATTCTTTATTATCTTGGACAATTTTATTTTTAAGGCCCATAACACCTCTCTCTCTCTCTCCTTCCTTCCATGTTCAACAACAATATATTCAAGCACTGCTAGTGCAAGGGACCTATATATAACAATGAATAAAACACATAAACCTCTGGACCTCAGGAGCTTGCATAATATTAGGGGTAACAGACATGGAACAAAAATAACAGATACAATAGAAACGATACAAGCTGAGAACAACTATGAAAAAAACTGACAGTAAAAAGGTTTGTGGAGTTCTGTGGGGGATATCAGGAAGCTCACTGAGCATGTGTGTTTGCTTATTTAGGGAAGACCATTTGAGGCAGAATGCATGCAATGTATAACCATGCTATGCTACTGGGGGAATAGCAAGGAGACCAGGATTTCTAGGAGGATGAATGAGTGGTAAGCACTCAAATCATGAAAGGATGAATTTAGAGACCATCTCAAGGATTTGGAAGATTTTTTTGCAGAAGAATGGCATGGTCCAGCTCACCCTTTAAAACCATGGCTTCCCCATTCCTCAGCTCCAACTCATTCTGTTTATACCCTCACCTATCTACCCATTATTCACTTCTTCAAAAATTATTGGCCAAATCCTCAGCACCTGGCATTGTCTTAGTTAATATAAGAAGGGTAAGGGAAGGGAACCTTACCTCCAGGAGCTTATATTCTGCAAGAATGCAGGGTCCTCTGTGATGACACGAATGCTCTAGATCTGCTATAATCATCAGGACAACCACAAGCCCAGTGTGGCTACTGAGTTCTCAGTTTTTAGGGCCAAGAAACTTAATTTTATGGTATCATTTTATTAACAGAATTCTATTGATAAAGAATATTAATGACAAGTTAAATTTAACCCCCATCTGACTAGAGATTGCTATATTCCACAGCATGACTTCATGCAGCAACCCTGAGGTTATCCTGAGACTCTTCATAGGAAGAGACTTGTGCTGGAGTTTGCCTTCTTGGCAATTATATTCTAGTGTGATGGGAAAAGAAAAATTATGATATTTAAGAGAGGTTCAGATTGGGACAAATACTTTGTGGAAAAAAAATTAGGTGGTAGGATACAGGAAGAATTTTGGAAGGGTAAAGTGTCTTAATTAGAATTTTCAGAAAGGCAGATCTTGAAGATGGGGTGACCCTGGCTGGGTTTTCAGAGCTCCTCTGCTCTCTGGAGATGAGTAAGCAGGAGGTTCACCAAGAAGTTTCTGTGGGGTCAACACTATAAATGGAAGGGAAGGACCTAGCATTGAGCAAAAAGAGAAGTGAACTGTGCACAAGTTTGAAAACCTTGGCTGAACCTACTAAAGTTCCAGACACAGGCAGCTTCCTGAGGCACCTCAGCCTGTGGTGAGTGCCCAGCACAGTCTGCCCAAATCTCAGACTGTTCCGGACCCCCCAGGCTTCTGGGTGCAGTGAAGTGGAGCAGTGGGTTAGAGGCCACTACAGCTGCCTCCCCCCCCCCCCCCCCCCCCCCCCCGCTACACTTGGAAGTCTGCTGAGCTCCTGACGGATGGGCGGGCCTACACTAACCCCCGAGCCCAGCCGCGCCTAGCCAACTGCCTGCAGAGGAGGAGCTGGGCAGATCTGGAGTGCCTGCAGAAGTCCCTTCCTTTGCCTAGAGGACTGTGGATATCTCTGCAAGCAGGGAGGGATCACAGGCTCCTGAGGCACTGTGGCCTGTGGAGAGCACCCTAACCCGGCTGCAATTGAAGAGCTGTGGATCTTCCAAGGGGCAGGTGGGCGCACAGTGTCCCTGAGGCCCAGCTTGTCTGGAACTGCGGAGTTCTGAGCAGGCAGAGGAGGGACACTGGTTCTGCAGGCCCAATGGCTTGGGGAAGTGCGGTGTCAGAGGCTCAGTAGCTCCAAGCATAGAAGGGGATTTTCAACAGATCCTGAGGAAGCTTTCAAATAACACTTGAAACACAGAAATATACAAAATGACAAAACGAAAGACCAAATTACAACCTCAAACCTCCAGCCCATCTCAGGAAACCCTAGGAGCAATGTATATAGAAGAAAATATATCCCATCCACCTCATATATCGGACATAATAGCTACTGAAGTTGACAAACAACTCCAGGAAGCTTTAAAGAAATTCAAACTCGAAATAATCTCGCAGATAAAAGAAGAAATGATAAAAGAAATGAAAGAGATTCTAAATATATCTAAAGAAAACACAGATAAAAAATTGGAGGAACTAAACAAAAAGATAGAATCCCTAGACGAGCAATATAAGAAACAAACAGAATACATAATGCAGATGCACAGAGATATACAGGAAATAAAAAACTCCACTGAAAGTTGTAAAAACCGCCTTAATGAAAGTGAAGATAGAATTTCAGACCTTGAAGACATGATTGCAGCTAGTGAACAGGAAAGGAAAGATCTTTTGAAAATAACAAGGAATCAGGAAACAACAATTCAACAACTGCAAGACGATGCAAAGAAGAATAACATAAGAATGATAGGGATTAATGAAAGAGAGGGAGACAACATAAAGGATGTCAAGCGGATATTTAGAGAAGTAATAGCTGAAAATTTCCCAAGCATGAGATCAGAAACTGACATCAAGATCAGTGAAGCATATAGAACTCCAAACACTCATAACCAAAATAAAACTACACCCAGACATATAATAATCACCATCCCAGAAATCCAACACAAGAATAGATTACTAAAAGCTGTCAGAGAGAAAAGACAGATCACTTATAAAGGAAAACCTATCAGAATCACAGCAGACTTCTCAGCACAAACGATAAAGTCAAGAAGAGCATGGAGTGAAATATTCCAGATCCTAAAGCAAAGTGATTTCCAACCAAGACTGATATATCCTGCAAAACTATCATTCAAAATAGATGGTGCAATACGATACTTCCATGACAAAGAACAGCTGAAGAACTTCATGAACACCAAACCGACCCTGCAAAAAATATTGAAAGACAGTTTAGATACACAAAGGAAAAAACCACTAAGCAAAGCAAATAATTAAACAGAACAGAAAGATAAAGATGCAACAGCAGAGAGATAACATTCCTACAATTAACCAGCATTTAACAGTAATAACCATTAATGTAAATGGTCTCAATGCACCAATCAAAAGAAACAGACTAGCAGAATGGATCAAGAAACAAAATCCAACCATATGCTGTTTACAGGAAACCCATCTAACCCAGAAGGATACTCACAGACTGAAAGTCAAAGGATGGAAAACAATTCTTCATGCAGCAGGAATCCAGAAAAAGGCAGGAGTAGCCATTCTGTTTGCAGACAACGTGAACTTTAAACCAACAATGACCATAAAGGACAAAGAAGGTCACTACATACTTGTAAGGGGAAAACTCCAAGAGGAAGAGATAACTATCTTAAATATATACGCACCAAACTCCAGAGCACCCAGTTATATAAAACAATTATTAACAGAAATGAAAACTCAAATTATCAGTAACACAATTGTAACAGGAGACCTTAATACGCCATTGACACCAAGGGACAGATCAACCAGACAGAAAATGAGCAAAGAAATAACAGAACTGAATCATACCTGTGAACAAATGGGTTTGATAGACATATACAGGATGTTCCACCGAACAACATCAGAATCCACATTCTTCTCAGCAGTACATGGATCATTTTCTAAAATAGACCATATATTAACTCACAGAACATATTTAAACAAGTGCAAAAGAGCTGAAATCATCCCTTGCATGTTATCGGATCATAGCGCTCTGAAATTAGAAATTAATGATAAAAGATACTGCAAAAATCCCACAAACACATGGAAACTGAATAACACACTCTTGAGTAATCAGTGGGTCACAGAGGAAATTAAAGAAGAAATCAAACAATACCTAAAAGAAAATGAAAATACAGATACAACTTACCGGAACCTGTGGGATGCAATGAAAGCCGTCCTGAGAGGAAAATTTATTGCACTGAGTTCCCACATCAGGAAAACAGAATGAATACAAATAAATAACTTGATGCTACACCTCAAACAGCTAGAAAAAGAAGAGCAAGTCAAGCCCAAAGCCAAAAGAAGAGAGGAAATTATAAAAATCAGAGCAGAAATCAATGCAATAGAGACTAAGAAAACAATCCAAAGAATCAACAAATCAAAGAGTTGGTTCTTTGAAAGAATAAATAAAATCGATAAGCCCCTAGCCAACCTTATTAAAAAAAGGGAAGAAAAAGCTCAAATTCATGCAATAAGAAATGAAAAAGGAGAAATCACTACAGACCCAATAGAAATACAGAAGATCATCAACACCTACTTCGAAAACCTCTACTCTCAAAAGTTTGATAACACAGAAGAAATAGACAGATTCTTAGAAGCATATGAAGTGCCAAAGCTAGATCAAGAGGATGTAAAACTGTTGAATAACCCAATCTCTGTTACTGAAATTGAAAATGTAATTAAGTCCTTACCCACCAAGAAGAGCCCAGGCCCAGATGGATTCACTGCAGAATTCTACAAGAAATACAAAGAAGACCTAATGCCGACACTCCTCAAACTGTTCAATGAAATTGAAAGGGAAGCAATCCTTCCTAAGTCGTTCCTGGAAGCAAATATTACTCTAGCACCAAAACCTGAGAAAGACCCAACTAAAAAAGAGAACTATAGACCGATCTCCCTAATGAACACAGATGCAAAAATCCTCAATAAAATATTGGCAAATAGGATCCAGCAAATCATCAAGAAGATTATACACCATGACCAAGTGGGATTCATCCCAGGAATGCAAGGATGGTTCAACATACGCAAATCAATAAATGTAATCCACCATATCAATAAAGCCAAAAATAAGAATCACATGATCATTTCTATAGATGCAGAAAAAGCCTTCGATAAGGTCCAACATTTATTCATGATAAAAACTCTACAGAAAATTGGAATAGATGGTCTTTACCTCAATATAATAAAGGCCATTTATGACAAACCAACAGCCAGCATCATTCTAAATGGCCAAAAATTGAAAGCCTTTACTTTAAAATCAGGCACAAGACAAGGATGTCCTTTATCACCACTCCTATTTAATATAGTACTGGAAGTACTAGCCAGAGCAATTAGGCAAGAAAGAGAAATAAAAGGGGTAAAGATAGGAAAAGAAGAAGTTAAGTTATCATTGTTTGCAGATGACATGATACTCTACATAGAAGACCCCCTAAACTCCATTGAAATACTCTTAGATACAATAAATAAATTCAGTAATGTGGCTGGATACAAAATCAATACTCAGAAATCAATAGCATTCCTATACACGAACAACAAAATTACAGAGAGGGAAATAAGAGAAACTGGACTATTCACATTAGCAAGCAAAAAAATGAAATATTTAGGAATTACGAAAGAAGTGAAAGACTTATACAGTGAAAACTATAATACACTGAAAAAGGAAATTGAAGATGATCTCAGAAAATGGAAAGACATCCCTTGCTCATGGATAGGAAGAACAAACATTGTGAAAATGGCCATTCTCCCAAAACTCTTATACAGATTCAATGCAATCCCAATAGAAATACCATCAACATACCTTATAGATCTAGAGAAATCACTCCTAAATTTCATCTGGAACCAGAAGAGACCTAGAATCGCAAAGGCAATTCTAAGCAGCAAAGGCAAAGCAGGAGGCATCACAATCCCTGACTTGAAATTATACTACAAAGCAACAGTAGTAAAACCAACATGGTATTGGAATCAAAACAGAGGCGAAGATCAATGGAATAGATTAGAAGATACAACCACAACTACAAACACACTCAACCACCTTATCTTTGATAAAGGAGCCAAGCAGGTTCACTGGAAGAATGACAGTCTCTTTAATAAATGGTGCTGGAAAAACTGGCTCTCCATTTGCCGAAAACTAAAGCTAGACCCATGTCTATCACCATGTACTAAATTAAAATCTAAATGGGTCAAAGATCTGAATATTAAAACAGAAACACTAAATCTATTGGAAGACAAAGTGGGTAAAAACCTTGGAGACATAGGAGTAGGTAGAGAATTCATGAACAGGACTCAAACCGCACGAGAAACACTTCCCAGAATCAATAACTGGGACCACATCTTATTAAAAAGTTTCTGCATGTCAAAAGAAATCTCCAGCATAGTGAAAAGAAAACCCACAAACTGGGAAAAGATTTTAGTGAACTCTCTCTCAGACAAGGGACTCTTGTCTAAAACATATAAAGAATTAAAAAAACTCAGACCTCCAAAATTCAAAGATCCAATCCAAAAATGGGCATCTGAGATGAATACGCAATTCTCAGATGAAGAAATGCAAATGGCAAATAAATATATGAAAACATGCTCATCATCATTGGTCATCAGAGAAATGCAAATTAAAACCACACTGAGATTCCATCTCACTCCTGAAAGAATGGCCAGGATCAAGAAAACCAACAACAACAAATGCTGGAGAGGCTGTGGGGAAAAAGGAACTCTCCTGCACTGTTGGTGGGAGTGTAGACTGGTACAGCCTTTGTGGAGGTCTGTCTGGAGGTTTCTCAAAAAGTTGGGATTGGAAATCCCATTTATTCCAGCTATTCCACTTCTAGGCATATTCCCAGAAGAACTGAAAGCATCATACCACAGTGATTTATGTGCACCTATGCTTATAGCAGCACAATTTGTAATCGCCAGATCTTGGAAACAACCCAAGTGTCCATCAACTGAGGAATGGATAAAAAAGTTGTGGTATTTCTATACAATGGAATATTATTCAGCTATAAAGAAGGATCACATTGAGATATTTATCAATAAATGGGCGCAGCTTGAGACCATACTCATAAGTGAAATAAATCAATCTCGCATGTATGAATACCGAATAGTTTCCCTAATGTAAGTAATGATTCAAATATATGAAAATATGTGGCAATCATGATTCCCCATTATGTGGCCTTGAAGCCTTATAAAATTTTCACTTATTAATTAGAAAGGCTTTATTCCGGGCTTCTTGATATGGAAATATTTGAAGCTATAGTATATGAAGTTTTATCCAAATATTTCAAGGAAAAAGACAGACACTATGGTAACTATTATTCTTTAAAAAAATTATTTAGTTATTTCTTATGTTTATTTTAATTAAGGGAAAAATTTAAAAAATTAGGATATATAATAGTAACTCTTTTCGATTTCCTATTAACTTGTTTTGAAGTCCTGTAATGCTCCCACGATCTTGTTTTGACTGATTAGACTCTGTTCCATTCTGTGGGATAGTATCAGGTCCGAGGGTATAGGCAACTACTTTGAAGGCAGTAAGATTCACTAAGATGCCCATTCTGTTTTGACTATTGTCTCCTTTGGAAGTCCTGTAATGTTTACAATGTCTAAGTTTTATTGGTCTTGTTCTCTACTGTTTTGTCCAACTTTATAATATCTAATGAGATAGACAAATCTTTTTAAGGAAACAAGAGACAACGTTGATAACTATTGTTAATAACCGTATACTCTGTTCTACATCATGTGCTAAGTCTATCCTTGGTTTTCACTGACAGCTTTGTTCTGCCATATTTGACTTTATTCTCCCCCCCCAAAAAAAAGTAATAAGAACTAAGGAGTAATAAAATCTAAAATGTGTAAATTTTGTTGTAAAAAGAGAGGAAGGGGAAAAAAGAGCTCTAACGGATATAACAGCAAGTGTGTATAGGGATGTTGAATAGCTGACTATATTAATGTTTTTGGATCATTGAACACAGCTGTTTGTAGTCTCTCTGTTTGAATGTCTACTTTGTATTCTTTGATACTGTGATTTGAGCAACTATTTCCAAGATGATAATATGTAATCTATTAACAGGTGATTTCTTACTGTTATGCTTTTTTTTGTAGTTCTGTATTATATGTAACCTTACACTGCTTTGTTTTGTTTTGTGTTTTTCTCTTTTTCCTCTTAAATAAAAAAAAAATAAAGTTCCAGACACAACTCTGCCAAGTTGTCTCACTTGGGTTGAGATAGCCAAAAATAGCTACAGGAAGATAGTGGCAGAGCTGTGACAAACAAAGGTCCAGAGGCTAAGTGGGCATACTGTGTTCAAGAAATTGAGATAAAAAAAATTGAGAGGAGGGAAGACCCAAGGTAGGGAAAGGAGATGCAGGACCAGAAGTAAGAGAACCATCTTACTAAGGAGTGTTTTTGTGTTGTGGGATGAGGATTTATTCTTGAACTAAAATGAAAAAAGAACTATCATTAAAGCTTTAAACTTCTCCCCTATATGAGTGATATTATTGTAATTCAAAAATAAGATTGATAGCATATGGGCTGAACAGCTAAAATCTGTGATTGATATCTGGGTGGAGTAAGAGGCTGTGGTAGTAGTAGCTCAAGGTATTTTATGTGAAAGGAACAGAGAGGACAAAGAGCAGGAGGAAGAGAAGGAAGAATAACAACAATGACAACAACAGCAATGTCCATTTGTATCTGGGAAGGAGAAAGAAAAAGATTCTGTAATCAGCTATTAATGTCTTCCACAGCAGGAATAAAGAATAATTGGGGCACTCTTACAATAAGTTCTCTACCCACCATTTATGTGATAGTTTATTATTGATAGGTACCTACGACTGCTTTGCTTGAATCTGTGATTTCCCAGAAAGAACTAACCGGCTGTGATTACTTCTGAAGGTACTTGGGATGAGAATCTGAGCTTCCATCGTAAGACTCAGGTACCTAGCCACCACCTCTTCCTTTCCCACGTATCCACCATAACTCTCATTCAAGAAGGCAGAAAGGCAGCCCCTAGGTTGATTTAGGACACCTTTATTGGTGATTAGGCCACATTTTCCCTCTGATCTTCAGTAAAGACTGAAGAACTAAGTGTGTGGTATTTCTAAGAGTGATTTTGTAGGTTTTGAAGGTGCAATGCAAAAGATAGACAGGATTCCAGCCTCAATGTGGCAGTCTTCCTCTGAAGATGTTTTTCTTCTCCCTGAAAAAGCAATTCAATATCAAAGTTCAAGGACTAAATATGTGTTAGCTCAAAATTACAGTATTTTCAGTACAGATAATTTTGTTACAGGTGTGCTGCCCTGCACCTCTAATTTCTGCTATCTGGGAGCCTGAGGCAGGAATTTGAGACCAGCTTGGGCTACACAGTGATACTTGGTCTCAAAATAAAAAAGGCCAGGGATGTTAACTGTGGTAAAGCACTTGTCTTTTTTTATTGCGAGGCCCCCTATTCCATGTCTAGCATTACATACACAAGTGGTGAGTCTGTATTGATATGAAGACACAATTAGAAGTAAGAGGAAGCAGTTAGGTACCACCCCCCCCCCCAGTGAACCACGGACCTCACCTTTGTGACAACAGAGGAGGGAGACAGACCTGCAAATAGGTGGTCTTGCTATAAAGACAGTGGAAGGAGGAAGAGGGGAAGTAAGAAGAGGAGCAGAAGAATAACATCAGTAACAATACAATAAACATTTGCATCTGGCCTCAGAGGGAACCAGATTCTTGAATCAATTATTGATGTTTGCCATAAGCATGGAAAAGGAAGTAGTGGTGTTTTGTCCACACAACAATGAAAAGGCTTTCTCTTTGCATCTAGATTCTAGAAGTTCTAGGGTGATTAGGTCAGTTGATCTGCCTGGGAGGTCTAGGAATATTTTCTGTAGGTTGGAGAATACTGGAGATAACCTAAGAGAAGAGAAGAGCTAGAAGGAAAAGGCTGGAAGAAAAGGACAGATAGATTTAGTCCTTGGAGGTGGGGGGTGATTTATGGGCTAAGATTGAGGACGGAGCCCAAAAGCTGAAAGAAGCAAATTGAACCTACACCTTTTCCTTAATCTACTACCCAATGATAAGTAACAGATTAGCAACATGATGCCATTCTTTCTCAGGACCAGGAAGTCCGGATTAATCCCGTTTTTATACCATCTTCTGTTTGAAAAATTCTGTTTTTCTAATCTTTCGTATCTAAAGCTTCTCATGTCTGCAATTTGGAATGATATTTTTCAATGTTTGAAAAAGTTTTTAACATCCTCTTGATGCTCTCCTGCTTTCCAGGAAAATCCTAATTCCCTCCAGCCTTTCAGTTTGAGAAGCTGTTCTATCCTTTCAACTACCTGACCTTATTTTTGGAAAGCAGAGTGCACCTTGCTGGAAACCTCAGTTGATCAGACATACTGGAAAGAACAAATCTCACCTTCTTATCCGTGACACATCCAGGTGTGCTACCTCTGTCATCTGCACATCAAGGGTGCACCCTATTTTGGTCTTGGCTCTCACCTTAGCATCAGCAGTATACCCAGGTGTGATCCTGGTCATAGTTGTAAGAAGTTGCACACCATGTGAGGTTATTTTTCGATCCTTTGTTGGTGCAGTTAAAATAATTCTTGTTTTTATAGTTGAATGGAAAGTGGCAGGGAAAACCAGGACCAGATGAGGAAAGTCCTAGAGAGAGAAAATGGATAAAACAGGTAATTTCTGAGATGATTACACTGTACTTGGGGCTTGGGCATCAGAGCCCATCCTAGGTTCAAAATCAGATGTGCACTGCAGGGACTGTACTGTTTGGGCTTAGCCCAGAGGCTTCTATTGGAGGAGTAAATTTTGACCCCAAATTATGTTAGGAAAATTTCATTACCTGGATTTCCTTCCTTATGAATTATCTGAGTCTGAGACTTAAGAAAGGGTGATGGGAGAGAATAGGGAAGAACTGCAGACTGAGATCTTTGGAAAAAAAAAAGAGGAGAATCTTGTGCCACCAGGAGGACTAGGGAGTGGAGTAGAGGCACATATGGAGCAAATTTCAATGGACCTTAATTTTTCATGGATTTTGTACTTACAAATTTACCTACTCAGTAAAATGTATTTGAAATCTCAAATTTCACAGAAGTACTGTGAATATTCACAGTACTTCTGCAGACTTTGTAGGCACACACCATAATGGGGAATTTGAGTCCCCTGATGGATCTGTTCTCAGCTGAAGTCAAGGGAGGTGATGCTGCCTGCTTGTTTCTGGTCCCATACTGTGGATGAGTGCCTTTTCCATGGGCCAGTACCATATTTTTCTAATTTTAGTTTTTGCTGGCAATGTCATTTCTTATAATGACCCCCAAGCTTACTGTCGAAATGTTTACCAGTGTTAGCACACATGGGAAGGCTGAGATGTGCTTTATGGAGAAAATACAAAATAAGTGACTTCTGGGCACTTGTGGAAGTGCTGTTGGTGTGAGTTTGGGCATGAATAACAGTGTTGGTACCTGGGAATTCATTGTGAATGAATCAATTAAATAAGATGTCTTTGAACAGAAATACCTCTGAACTGAAGTCATTCCTTGACTGGCTGACAAACTGTGACCAGAGGCTGGTAGGAACCTAATCCTATATTCCCCCAAAGGAGCAGTGATTTGTAAATTATAACTACTGTGTTCGCAGAGACTTTATATATATGTGCTGTGGATAACTACTGTGACTAAGTATAACAAGCTGTATCTTCATTGTAATTGACTCGCTTCCAGGTGAATAGTCACAGAGGATAAAACAGCTCCAGATACACAGAAGCTGGAGACTGGAACAAGGGCTGGAGACCTGACTAACCTTAAGAAATGGGGCACAAGAGGAAAATCTCATCCTGGGTGAAATGGAACCAAAACAGGTCCTGCTAACCATCGCCCAAACACAGAATAGTGAACACACTTTCCGAGAGTTTACAGTTTTGTTTTCTTTTGTTTTGTCGCCTTTTTTATTCTCTTGAGGTCTTCTCTGATCACCTTGCCAAATCTAGATTCACAATCTTCTTTTAACAAAAAATTATCTAAATCTTAAAGAGTCATAACATTGTCACATTAAATTTTAAAGTCCTCCTTGAACATCATCTAAGAAGTCCCTAAAAGCCACTTGATATTCTGATTCAGAGTCAACACAATTTTCCTGTAGATATTTTTGGATCTGTGCACCATACAGTGCCCATCACAGCTACTTAACTCTGCTGCTGTAGGTGCACAGTAACCATGGTGCTCCATAACCCTGCCATGTTCTGGTAAATCTTCTGACAGGTGCTGGAGTTTGAATTTCATATGTGCTAATCTGTCACAAAGTATTATCCTTCCTTTGCTTTCCTCTGACCATTGTTGTCTTAGGCTGGGAACTATAAATATACAAGAATTCATCCAGATTTGCCTCAGTGGTGTGAGCAAGTGTGCAAACCCTTCCTCAAGGGAAAGTATAATTGCAGCCCTACTGTTTGCTGTGAGCTAGAGGCCCAGCCATTTAGCTGTTAGATATAACTTGTAGAGGACCAACAGGTTGTGAATCATTTTTGTGCTGTGGATAACACAAAATAACTTTGCAGATAACTTCTACCTGGTAGATAAGATTGCTCAAAGGCTCAAATTGCTCAAATTTCTCTTTAGACATCAGTGGATCTCATATCTAATTTAGCAATGTTTTCCAGATCAGCAATTTTTTAACCTCCCTTCAAATTGGCTTTTCGTGCTTCTTTTCTATGTCTTCATTGATAATTTTTCAAAACCTTAACCATTGTTTACTCTGTATTGGTCAGAGAGATGTATAAGATTTTGAAATTTTTATTTTGGCACCTTTCCCTTTAGCACTGTTTGTCTCTCAGATTTATGAGAGCGGAACTCTGTCTGTTTCACTCCTGCCCCCATTTCCAGCACCCAGCACAGTGCCTGGGAGACAAGAGGGCTGCATGTGATGTTTTCTAAGCAATTAAATGGAAGAATCCACTCATGCCCACCCAGTCCCCTCCCTCAAATTACTGGTGTCTGCACAGAAGCTCCACTTTCCATCTTTATCCATGTCCTCTGTGGTTGGGCACCAGAGCTTGTTGCTGTTATCCTCAAGGCATTCTGAGATCACGCTATTTCTGTACTTGGAGGGGAAGATGCAGGGCTTGCTGAAAGAATTTCCTCCGTACTCTGAAAATGATCATGGAAAGTTGACAGGTTAAGAGGAGGAGATGTAAAGGGCTTCCATTTAACACACACACACACACACACACACACACACACAAAATGCCCTGAACTTTATTTCATGAAGGGTAACATCACACTGAATGCTCCAAGTAGCATCATGATTAAGTGAGAACCAGAATAATCAACACCCACGTAGCTTACTGTCTGCATTAATAGGACCTTACGGTTTCATGATCTTCATCAAGCTAACTCTACGGATCTCAAGAGTACTTGCAAGGGAAGATAAGAGTTGCAAATAGCTTTGTTGTCCATTCTGGAAACTTCCTGAAAAGTGTTTTAAATAAACATTGTATGTAGCTTATTTTACTTAGTTGAAGTTCACTAGGTTCATGTTGTGACAAGTAATAGCACATTCTGCTTTTTAAAGGCTAAATGGTGTTTTAACTTCTATATATTACTTTTAAAGCTTCATGTATCTGTGATGGGCATGTTGGTTATTTCTTTACCTTATTTATTGTGAATAATGATGCAATGAATACAGGAGTGAAGCTGTATCTTCCATATGATGATTTCATTGTCTTTAAAAATATACTTAGAAGTAGGATTACTGGGTCATACAATTGATCTGCTTTTAGTTTCCATACTACTTTCCATGATGGCTACACAAAGTTCCATTCTCATCAGCAGTACCCAAGGGTCTTCTTTTCTCCACATTTACGCCAATGTTTGTTATCTTTTATGTTTTTGATAAGTCAGTCTAACAGATGTGAGATGGTTTTCACATGATAATCAATTCATAAAGTAAAAATGATCAGACTGCTAAACTTTTCAGTAGATTGTAGTTTTGGCAGATCTTTACATGACTCTTTGAATTCTTCTCCTTAGTTCATCATTGTCACCAACCCTATACCACTCTGTTGTGAACCTTATCCAGTTTACATCACATCACATTGAAAGACTCACCAGACCTGCCAGATCCCCAGACCTCACTCATTGCCAGGCTTTTCCCTCTTTGCTTTGGTATTCCATTAATTATGTCTAAGTTGTAACTCCCTTACTTTGGTGTTACAGTTTGTACCTGGAGTATCCAGGTCCCAAAAGCTTGTATGCCACCCAATGGTGCTCTGGGGAGGTGGTACCAACTTTAGGAAGTAGGTCCCAGAGGGAGGAAATAGTCCTCTGTGAGGTCAGCTTTAGTGTCTCATTGTACAGGTTTGTTTCAGTGTTAAAATGGTGGCAATGAGAGAGTTAATAGTGGAATTTAGAGCCAAGAGTAGAAGTATTAGCACAAGATTATGTAGGATTTAAGAATAAGTTTAGCATTAGGGACACAAGCAAGGGATGCCTAGAGCTAAATAGGATAAAATCAAGGTTTGATAAGGGATTAGCACTTTTTTTATGCCAAGCGAAGAATGTAATTAAGAATTGTATGGCCATGGACAAAGACCTTTCACACATTTTTATCTCTTTGGAAGCAACAATGCTTAATGAGAGAGCATGGGTTTTGGAGCTGTGTGGACTTGAATTCAAGTTCTAACTCCAGCATAGCCTAGGAATACAATCATGGGAAAGACTTAATTTTACTCGGACCATTTATTGAATGGAATGGGTTGGGAAAGAACTGCCTTGGAAAGACTCAACAGGATACTGTATGCAAAGCTCTTGAATCAGAATCTAGCCCACAGAAGCCACTGAATGAATGTTGGTCCTTAAAATTTTAGGACTAAGTGTAGAATTAAGATTAGGTGTTAAAAAGCATTAAAATTCAGGGATGATCTGTCAATGGGTGAAGCTGGTTATGTCTAAGTTGTAACTCCCCTTACTTTTTTTTTTTCAATTCTTGAAACACAAGTACTCAAAAAAAATCAGGACTACATCCTATATATTCAGTTGGCAGGATTCCTGGTCTGTTATGCTGGCTTTGAGGCCTTGGGGAAGGTGATCTTGGAAAGTACCACTTGTGGTTGTTGTGATGTTGTCTTTGAGAACATGCCTGTTCCCTAGAAGGGCTTCCCTGAGTTGTCCACATCCCCACTTGATGACAGTGGCTGCGTACCTCCCTTCCCACCACCCTGCCCTCCTGCCTCCCATGGCTCACCATTCATCTCACAGTATTTCCACTGCTGCTTCTCATCAAAGCTGGATGTGACTGAGCACCACATCTTTCCTGTGAGGCTGCCGTCTGAGATGCAGCTGTTACGGGTCTTTCCACGAAAGATGAAGGGGAAGACACATCGTGGATAATCTGTACAGAACAGAGTTCATGAGCAGCCTAACTTCGTGTAGCTATTCACAGCAAAGAGTCAGTTCACCATCTATCCATCAGTCAACAATCAAAGTGAGCACAAATAGTTTGGAAGAGATTTTTTTGCACACATTTCATCAAGCTTTTGGTAAAGCCTTCTCCATGTCTCCTCCCCCACATAACTTCTCCAATAGGGCTCCCAAGCTCAACCAAGAATGTTCACACCTACAAAGCAAGCATATCTAACACACTTTATGTAGTGTCTTGAAATAAATAATTAGACCACCAACAGATCTATAAGGATCTAAGAATGTTGTTTGATTTATGACCAAGAGATAAAGTCAAAATCATGATTGATGAAAAATGCTAGTGGTACTTTTAAAAAGCCAGTGAAAATAAATTTATCTGGATGTTGGTATCTTCTTGTAGTCCACATGTAAAAATAAATTTAAAATTAATTAATAAAGCAGTTACATATATTATAAATTAATTAACACAAATAGAAACACTGTAAGCTCCCCAGTCTGTAGTGTTCTGTCACTCACCTTCTATCAGACAGTACTTCCACCTGCCATCATAAACCGCTCTGGTCGAACACCAAGGCAGGAAGCTATTGATTTTGGTGCAAGTGAAGTAAATAGATCCCTTGTAGATAAAAGGAAAAACACAGTTTTCGTTCAGCTCTGAAGGATGGAAGAACAAAGCAGGAGGGATAAGTCACAATGGATGAGATGCATCTTGGTTTGGTCTATGTTCCCCTACCCCTTGTTAAACCCTGTGGAAACCCTGTTAAAATTCTGAGCATGTAAATTTCTCTGCTGACACAATCCTCCTCAGCATGTGCAGGTCATCACAAGACACTCTACTACCATTTGCTAAAAACAGCACAGGAAGAAAAATGAAAATAAAGTTTCTTACAAGTGGGAATGAGAAGAAGTGTTGGGGAGAGGGAGGAAAGAAAAAAATAATTAAGAGGTATTATATTCGTGTACAAATTTCCCACAGTGAATGTGGTCATTATATATTATAAATGTGCAATACAAAATAAACACAAGAACTATTCATTCCTCCTGCTGAGTTAATGCTCATCTTTTCCTCTAAAATTAAAGCATACATACCTTCTTTTCTAAGTCTGAAAAGACTTTTGTGAGCCGTAAGCAAAAAGCCTCACTAGTTTGTGAGCCTGACGTGCAACTTTAGTTTACTATGTTAAGTGTATTTAAAAGGCTAACAAGGAATAAGATACCCTGAAAAATTCATTTCTGAGATATCTGTATTTACTAACTCAGTCCCTGCCCCACATTTTCAACCTCTCCAAAACAAAAATTCCCAGTCTCTTACTCCTAACAGTGAGATTCCTTTCTTAGAAACCCACCTGCTGGCCCTCTTGAGAGTGTCCTCTGATCTGAAAAAAACTTTTGCTTTTTCTATATTCCTTGACTATTGGTAAATTATTTTACTCCCAGCACCCCTGGCCTTCTAAATATCTTTTGGCATAGCACTTGACAGCTAAGGTGGCAATATTACAAGGTCGGGGGGGCATTTGGGAGTGATTACATCATGGCATCAGAGCCTTCATGTTTGCAACTAAAGGTTTTATTTAAACAAATGAAGAATAGGAGGAGGAGGAGAAAGAAGAAAAAGAAGAAGTAGAAGAACAAGAAGAATAAAGAAGAAGAAGAAGAAGAAGAAGAAGAAGAAGAAGAAGAAGAAGAAGAAGAAGAAGAAGAAGAAGAAGAAGAAGAAGAAGAAGAAGAAGAAGAAGAAGAAGAAGAAGAAGAGGAAGAAGAAGAACCTAAGAAAGTCAGTTTGCCTCTTCCACCATGTGAGGTTACAACAAAAATGTGGCTGTGGTGATCTTGAATGTCACAGCTTATGTCTATTGCTCATAAGCTGTTCTGTCTAGGGTAAGGTGTAGGAGTAGTCCTATTGAAGTTCTCTGATAGTTGGAAGGCTAATATACTTAAGCTAAGCATCAGACTTCATGATGCCATGTAAGTGCCTGTCCAGTTTATATTTGCATCAAGAGTAATGGGGAAAGCTGGGCATGCTGGTACACATCTATAATCCTAGCACTCAGGAGGCTGAGACAGGAGGATCATAAGGGTTCCAAGCCAGCCTGGGCTACAAAATGAGTTCAAGGCTATCATGAACTACATAGAGAGACCCTGACTAAAAAAATGCACCGGTGAAGTTTCACATATAATGAAGGCAGCTAAGACATACTATTCCCTAGGCCTCTGCGTGTCAGCATGTACAAGGGGCATCATCAATGGGCACCATCAATGGGCACCATAAGTCCTACACAAGATGTGTTAGGGCAGATTATAAGATCATGTTAGTCAGTGCAGAGACACACGAATTTTGAAGCATACTGGTACAAACTTCTTTTTCAATGTTGTTTTCAATACTTCTAATTGTACAGAAAACTTCAATTTAATGCTGGTGTTTCTTTACCACATTTCTAATACTTAATAATTTCCCTTTTTAGTAAAAAAGGGAGTAACACTCAGGCTCAAAGCTGCATTTGAACAACAGTATCCAGAGAAGTTAAGTCATGGGTTTTTTCATAGAATTTACTTTTATTCACAATTCTTGTGTATGGTCAGTAGTAATGCTTTTTTGCATTACAAACCTTGCATAAATCTTCTTGAAAGAATTTATTAAAGTGAAGCACAATGAGAAAATTTAAAGAATTTTTTGAGTAAGTAATAGTGTTGGCGAGAAAATGTGGAAGTATATAAGGAGAGTGGTACTCGGATGTGTTCAGATCAGGAAACATAGCATTGGATTTTTTATATTTTAGTGTAAAAACAAAATACAGACTTTGTCTTTTACTCAATATATTCACAAGACCTAGAATACCCACTTGCTCATAGTAGTGGAGAAAGAAGGGTAAAAGCTGACAGGAAAAAAGCAATTTTATCAAATTCTACACCAAATAAAACAGGTTTCTCATTGAGGTAGAAACTCATCAGAGGAGATTAATATGAGAACTGAAGGATAGAGTAAATGAATATTTCCTATTTTTTATTACTCAATAGCACTAGAGACTAATATTCCTTAAAATGTATCTTAAGAAATGCTATTCTAGCCCCAACTTCTCATTACATGAATTCATACTTGTACAACAAAAGAAATAATTTAATGTTAATACTTTTGTTTTAATTACAGTAGAACAAAACTCAGTTTTCTCATCTGCTAGTCCAGGATCACAGCTTCCTTCTTGTCCTTATCTCCTTTATTTTTGTCCTTTCCTTCCTTCCTCTAAGTCACAACCAGGAGTCTCTGAGTAAGGAACTTTGCTAAGTGCTTTCTGCATGAGTGATGGATTGTGGATGAAGATGGTGTTTGTCATTTCCTGGTTCAAAAGTAGTCCTGAGCAATCTTCTGTGCTATTTTTCTTTCCTGTTTGCCAGTTGAATAGTGGGCAGTGATTTTCAATAGAAAGGAAGGGGCAATGATCATCCCCAGGACACTGTGGACATTGATAGAGACATTTTTTGGCTGTTACCACTGGTGATAGAAAGGGACTGGCAGCTGTGTGTCTAGAATCTACCACTTGGCCAGGGTATTATTCATCACCCTAATATGCCCAGAAAAATTCCCAGAAGAGACTCATTTGGCTCCAAATGTCAATAGGGCTGAAGTGGGGAAACTGAGAAAGATAAATAGACAAAGAAGACTGAGGCTCCAGCACGTGGTAAAGACAAAAGAGAAGGAACTTGTTCTCTGGATCCCAGCAGAAGATTTTTTTCCGCTGAACATTCACATGAACCTGAATTTCTGTTGAGGTAAGTCATTGACACTGTGGGGTGGTTACAATGGTTAGTTTTCTACTGTTGGTGGCCACAAGTTCACAATGGCTAATTTTACATACTTCCCTATCGGACAAATGGAGGCTTGGGATTATTGGTATCACACATTTGAGATTTCCCATGAACTCTTTATGGATGAGCCATCCTCTCCCATCTAATAAGACTAAAATTTAAACCACTAAATTATATAAGCACTCCAGGGCAAGATTCATCTCAGTATAATTTCATCTCTGCCCTTTTCAGTCATCACAAGATTATACGTGACCATTGAGTCATAGATCTCTGAGTCTTTTGCCAATTTTGAATCTTCTGCTAGCCTCGCCTATTACTGTCAATACCCAATGAATAGTGGTTGGCGTGTACTGTTGTTCTCTTGGTTCATCTGGAGGGATTAACTTCCCAGTCACTCATCATGTATTGTGTATTACTAAATTTGTCTCTTTCTTATTTTATCCTCTCGCTGTACACCTTGATACAGCTGGTGATCTTGACCAGGTCCCAGATATTCTGTGACTACAGGTGAGCAAGATGTGATCTCTGTCTTTAAGCTGCATAGTCTAGTTGCCCCATCCATTTTTCTTTTTTTTTAAATTTTATTTAAAGAAAAAACCAAAACAAAATAAAACAGTAAAGGGATATAAATAATACAGAATTTCAAAAAATAAATAGTAAGAAATCACTAGTTAATAGATTACATATTGTCATCTTAGAAATAGTTGTTCAAGTTACAAAATTAAAGCATACGAAGTGGACATTCAAACAGGGAGACTGCAAACCGTTGTGTTCATTTATCCAACAAAAACTTAGTAATATGGTCATCTATCTTACACACCTAAACACACTTGCAGTTGTATCCTTTAGAGCACTTTGTTTTCCTCTCTTTTTTACAATAACAATTACACATTGCCTCATCCCTTTTTCTGCATTCAGTTTTTACTTTGCATTATGTGACAGGGCCATCATGGGTCAAAGGGATAAATTGCATGGAGTGGAAAACGCTGATTTCCACTTCCACCCTTGACAGTAGGTTGACCCTACTGTGTAGGATGTAACACATCATTTCTCACCTCTGGATCTCAGAAATGTTGAGTCATGTTTTTGCAATTTTAAGCCAATTCAAATCAAGAAGGGTGCTTAGAAAAACATATGAAACATCACTGATCCTGAAATAATTTAGGCTGTCAAGATGATCATGGTCATCATCCATCAACCTGAACATCATCATTATCATCATCATTGTCAATGCTTTCTGCACAATCATGGACACCACTGGATATGTGAGATACTGTGTTGAGTGAGAGGGATGCGGGCTGCATGTAGAATTAAGGTTATCTGTGGGAGTTGTTAGAATCAACACATAATGAATGCTATTAGCCATCTGCAAAGTAATCCAACAGATGGCCTAATCTTCTTAACTGAGTTACAATCTCCCACAATCTGCATCCTGCTGACCTGCCTGTTTTCACCCTCTGATTAACATTTCTTTGACCTTTCCTTCTGCTCTCTCTGACCTTTGGTGTTTTGGTCACATGCTTCATTCTATGCTTGACACCTTTACTCTATTTCTATTTCTGCTCCCTGCATCAATACTGTTCCTCATGTGTCAAATAGTTATGAGCTAGGCTGGGGATGATGTAGCTCAGTGATAGAGCATTTGCCTAGCATGCACAAGGCCCTGAGTTCAATCCCCACTACCGCCTCCCACACAAAAGAATAGTCAATGCTAATCTCTATGCATGCATTTACCAACTTAAAAGATTACTAGTTTATGTATCTAAATTTCTGTTTGCTGTGAACTCCCTGAATAGAGGAAGTGGATTTTATTTATAACTGCATTTCTGGTCCAAATACAGTGCCTGGAACTTAGGGGTCACACAGGAAATGGGTAAATCTGGTGAAATGTGTTAGAGGAGACTTGGGGATATCAAGTTTACCTACAGGAATGTCGGTGTGGGTTTAGGGAAGTAAGGTCAAACAAGATCGTAACTAGGAAACCTTACATCCCACTAAGTATCTTTCTCCTTATCTGAATAAATAGTTGGTTCTTGGTCTTTTAGGTTAATGGACTTAGTTATTTGAGAACTCAGAAGTTTTCTCTAGAAAGATATTAGCTAAATATGCCCTTGTAGTTACGAAGGCTTTGTGTCCACCAAAATCAGTTTCATTTTCCTCCCAAATGCACTGCTGGATTACATTTTCCAGACTTGCATGCAGCTAAGCATCACATGTGTTTTGGATTATGGAAGTGGGAGGAAGTGATGTGTGTTACTGCCTAGCCTGGTCAAAAAAAAAAACAAAACAAGCAAACAAATACCATCATTGCCCTATTTCTCCCACAAAAAACACTCTTCCCCAAGATCCTGTAGATTCTTACACCTTTTCCTCTCAGCTAAGGTAAAGAATCCTCAGGGAACCTGAGATCCTAGGGGTTGGTGGACCCTACTACGGAAGGGGTGTAGACACCCGAGTCACCACATGGAACACTGCTGGCTGACCAAGTCTCCCACCCCTATCCCAGGCTTAGTTTGTTTTTTCTTATTATAACAAATGCCTGAGATAAGCAGCTGATGAAGAGAAAAGGTTTGTTTGGGCTCAGAAGCTTCAGTTCCTGGTTGGTGGGCTCTATTGGCTTTTGTCCTATGGTAAGGAAGCTCATCCTGGCAGGAGGAGACAGAGCAAATCCACTCATCTCAAGGCCAGGAGGTGAAAGAGGGTGAGGAAATACCTGGGGTCCCATGATCCCCTTTAAGGCCATGCTCACAGTGACAAGAGAACTTCTTTCTAGGGCCTAACTCTCAAGGGTTCTGCCATCTCCCACTAGCACTATAGGCTGAGGACTAAGCTTTTAACACTTGGACTTTGGGGGTCACCTGACGTCCAAAATGTAACAATGAGCAAGAAAAGGATTGTGTGTGTTTGTGTTTGTGTGCGTGTAGTACACTGCTGATAGCTTGGCGTTTGTTATAATAATTGTTCTCACTATCCTGCTAGTATGCATATTTTAAAAATACAAATTCAGGGTTTCATACACCCTAAAATTCATCTAGTGACCTTGATTAGGAGTCTCTGTAATAAAGAATATGATCATCAAAGAAACAAAGTGCATGCAGATGTATTTTTTGAGTCTTATGCAAGGGAGCAGAACTTTTCAGGTTGAATAGGATTTTCATTGTAGAAAATGTCTCACTGTGATTTGATGGAACTGTAGAATCAAAGTTTCTCTGTGTCCTATGTCCGTGCTTATTGTAGTCTTTGATAGATAGTTTAGACTCCTACATACATTAAAATTATAACTAGGATGTCCAAGTTAGAGTCTGAGGGTTCAGCCTACTAGAATTAATTTCATATTTCTCTTTTCAGTCAACATACTTACTTTTCCCCATTGTGAAAGACATTTGTTGAGCATTGTGAAAGACACTTGCATTCATTATTTTATTAAGTATTTGAAATAGCCACAGGAGGCAAAGGTCATTATTTTCACTTTACAGAGAGGGAATGAACTTCAAAGAGATTACATTGCTTGACCAAGATCACAGCTAGAAAATGCAGCAGACCCACGTTCTAAATCCCAGGCCTGTCTGAGATTTCTGCTAAACCATTCCCTCTCCACATGGCTTCAGCCATGTGATCTTGACTTTGGCCTTTTCATTCTTTTCCAGTCTCTAAATCCTCCCCATTATTTTCCATTATACTTACGTCCACTTGTCTCATAGAAATAGAGGAGAAAGGTCATCCATCCCAACAGATAACTGGACCATTGAGTCATCTTGGTTGGCTTTTTCTGTCGGAACTGAAGAAAGATAAAACTTTTACTCCAGCAGATCATTTTCTTCTTCTCATTAACTTCCAGTTTCAAGGACAGGCATGTTATTTTTATTTCTATCCTAAACTGTCCATTAAAAATTTATTTTCACAGAAAAGAACAGCATATCCATATTTATATCTGTATTTCATCAAGAGAAAGGTGTGATGAAAGCATTCAAAGATTTTGTTGAACACTTGCTTTATTCCAGGGTAGATGTTCAACACATTTTATTCCAATTGGTTCTCATAAATCCATTGACTTTTTAAAATCTCCATTTCAGAGATTAGAAAACTAATGTTCAGAGAGGTCTGGGTTAGTTGTACAGTGAGGAATAACAGGATCTAGATTCTCAGATGGCTGATGGCCTATGCATCATCAGAAACTTAACAATAGCTTTACATCTCCCTTTTGGATCATGCAGCTCTACTTAGCTGGATATTAAAGTACCTTTGTGACTATCACCAGTCATGATAACCACTCACTATATTTTCCTTTGTACCTTCTCTTCAATGATACACAAACATGCCTGTCTAAGAAGCAACGAACAGTCAGAGTTTAGAATTGATTCCATCCCTGGTCCATAGTTATTTAGTTCCTATGGTATGCCACATGCTGTGAGTTCATTTTAATGACCTAAGGAGTAAAAAGGCTAATCTCCTGTTTACTTAGGACAGAAACTGAGCCTTGGGAGGGAAGTAACTTATCCAGTGATCACAGTTGGTAAGTGACAGCTCTCAGAGTGAATGCAGGCCTGTTTACACCAAAGAGAACCACTTTATCAGTATAGGCCTTTATTTCTTCATATACAGAGTGTAGGGTGATAATTTCTACTTCTCAGGATGGTCATGAGGGTTCAATGCGATGTGAAAATACTTTTCTGTTATATATTATTAGGATTTATGAATTATTAAAGGAAAAGTAAGAGCAGTTCAGGGAAAGAATCATATGGCACCAGCTCAGCAACAAATCCAGACAATTGAAGGAGAATTAAAAATTCAAAGCCATTGTTCAGGTCCTTCAATACATGGATGGCACACTGAGCATGCAAGACATAGAGCTTCTGCCCAACTTTTCTTCTTTTGTCTATCGGTGCCTAGCTCTCCTGTTACATATGGAGAATCTTATGCATTTATTTTGTCATTTTTCCTCAGACCTTTTACTCTTAAACACTACAGCATGCCTCAAACAAGTTTGCTTGTTTTCTCCTGAAGGATCCTGCCTCATTTTTTGTCTAATTTTAATTCTCTTGGACTGGTTGTTTAGACTATGAATTTGGACCATCCTTTGACAGAGGAGGCTGAATGATCCAGGTTAAAATCCAATTTTACTACTTACTGGTAGAGCAATGACAGAAACATTACTTAAATTCTGTATTCTTCAGCTTCACTAGCTGAAAACACAGGATTGCTAATCCTATGTACCAAGCTTGCCATAGTATTAACGTGATGATAAAGAAATAACATAAAACTCTTGAAATATTTAAATTCATTAAAATCCTGATAGAAAATAGCCTAAGGAAATGGGTACTATTATTATTCTCATGAATAGGATGAGGAGCAGTAAGCATAAGAACCCAAAAGAGGATCACAAACATGATGTGGTTAGTAACTGACCTTCACCAGTTTGACTCCAGACACCAGGTTCCCAACCACTGTGCCTGTGGTACAATGTCTAGGCTGAACCTGGCACTCTATGTGTGCTAATAGACATTTCCAGCCAAACCTCACTACCAAATGTCAGGATTGTAATTTCTTTTCTTTTCTTTTTTTTTTTTTTGGTCTTTTTCCTTTTTATCAGTACCAGGGATCGAACTCACGACTGCCTGCTTGCAAGGCAGGCGCTTATGCCGCTGAGCTAAATCCCCAGCCCGAGGATTGTATTTTCAATCCTGCCACCTAGACACAGCTGTCATGGTGTCACTCAAGCACCTCTAGTTCTAAGATTTGGCTTTTGATATATATTCTAAAGCATGCCACCATTCATTAGTTCATTTATTTCCATTGTACAATGTGACTTTCCAACAATCTAAGTTGTAAAATTTTCTGTTTCCTCTGCTGTGGAGATTCTATCAATTATCACATACAGTTAGTTTTGCCTTCTGAATAACTCCTGAAGTCATCCTCTCCTCTGCTGTTGCTGGTGCTGACTGAAGAGAGCTTTTCACTATCTCTCCTTTTAACTATTGTTGTGACTCCTTGCTGATATCCTGGACTTTGGCTTTTGCCTTTTCTATCTACAGTGATACCTAGGTACTCATTTTTAATTGACTCTGGAAGGCATGATGAGCACTAAAAAGATGAAGACAGAACAAATTGTTTTGGATGGAAAGGGTATAGAGTCATGAAATGTTCAACACCAAATACTAGCATGTTGAGTACCAAGCAAATAATCAGTTCTGGAAAAAACTTTTCATGTCAAAATACGTCGAGTGCCAAATACATCAAAGTTCAAACCAGCCAAGTATCAAGATGTGAGTGTATTTTTTACAAGGCAACTAATAAAGTCTGTCCTATTGCATACTTTTAGCATTTATTTAGAAACAAATATTCATTAATCACACATGATGCACCGTAGAGGCTTAGACAATGAGTTTATAGCAATACGTTAAGAAGGGATGGCCTCTTTCTTTAGGGAGCTGAGGCCATGAAGGAAACAGACACAAGGCAAAACAAACAAACAAACAAACAAACAAAAAAACAGAAATAAGCATTATAGCTCTTTGTCATGATCATGGCTATGATGGAGGACAGTGGAGGCTGAGAAGAGGAAACATTAGGACATGGTTATTTTTGATGATTGGGATGTCAGGAAAGGGTCCTTGAGAAAGTTATATACTGTGTAATCCAAGATGAGTGGAGAAGGAGCTGGAGGAGCTGGGGGTGGGGTTGAGGACTCATTCAGACAGAAATAGAAGTGAAAATGATATGAGATGGGAACAGCTCAGATGTGGTCAAGGAACTTGCAGACTGAAGTTGTGAGCAAAGAGTGAGGCCAGAGGGATACTTGGTACATGGATGGAGTTGCACCCTGTAGAACCTTGTTTCTTTATGTTCCAAGTACAACCAATACTGTTGAGCAGATTAAAGAGGGGAAAATGGAATTCATTAACTCAAAACCCTTCACCTTCATCCAGCCTTCCCCTAAGAACTCATTTCTTACTTCTCCCTTCCTTGCTTCCTAGCTTCATTTTTGGATTGGATTTTTAAAATTGACTTTTTATTGATTTTTATTGATTCTTTGCAAGATATGCTTGTTTATGTCACAGGACTTTTGAATTTGCTTTCCTCTTCACCCGGTATGATTTTGCCCCTAGGTGTGTGTAAGGCTTACTTCATGGTGTCATGAAGAATTTTATTCAAATGATGAACTGACTACAGATAAGTTGATTATCTATAAAATTAATGAAATCTCTTGGATAAAGTCATGGAAAATATTTTGGTGATGGTTCAAGACAATTAGTAAACTGTAAGGCAAGATTCAATAGCCTAACATCCATGTGGGAATACTCAGGGAAGGACTATGTTATTCTTTGTGCACTGGCACATTCAATAGTGGGAGGCACCTTTGCCCTGAATTATGGGGTGGTTAGAACTGACATCCTGCCACTTGTCACTATTTGTTGGTTGTTTGGAAAGACAATGTTATAGGCTTGGAGCAAACTATAGTCAAGTGTAGGTACAATTTTCCCAGTGTCAAGAAAGGAGAAAATAAAATCTATCTTGAAACCTTATAATATATGTGGCCAATACAGGGAACATTTTGTCAGTGGCAGAGGGAGGTTGTATGATACAGATACTAGTTATTACTTATGGAAATGGAAAAGAAATAGATTTTTTCCGCTTTCTCTAAATTCTTTACTATGGATTCATACTTACATCCTTGTCTCAATAAAACCCCAATAGCCACTCCTTAGTTACTTCAGCAATCAGCTTTCATGTTCGTTTTCCCCCTCAAGATTCAAGTACAATTAGCAATGCTTTCTTGTTTATTTGCTTTTGAGCTAGACACTAAAATCCATACTGCAGAAAATCACAATGCTTCAAATACTCTGGAGCTGGACTGTTTGGGTTTTAAACCCTTTCCTCTCATTACATTTTGACTTAGGCTTGGTATGTTGGTGGATACCTGTAGTCATAGAACTGGGGGATTACTGAGTTCAAAGCCATCCTGGGCTACATAGCAAGTTCAGTGCCAGCTGAACTACATAGCAAGATCCTTTCTCTAAAATAAAATAATAAAATAACAAAAAATAAATTTTGACCTAAACAAAGTTAATCCATGCTTTAAATCTCAATTCCTCATCTTTAGAATAGAGATGAGGGAGAAGAAGGAGGAAAAGGAGGAGGAAGAGAAGAAGAAGATGAGAAAAAAAGGGGAGAGTGAGAGATCATTATTGTTGTCTCAGAATATTCCCATGAGATACTAAACAGATGCTTCAGAAAGTAGAAAAATACCAACCTTCCAACCTAACGAAATCTGTCCACATCTGTATTTCTTGGACCTCTGAATGTGTTAGGTTCCAAGGTAAAAGGGACTTTGCAGATATGATGAATTTAAGTGTCTATAGATAGGGAATTCTGGATTATCTATCTAGGTGGACCCCATGCCATCATGAAGTCCTTATAAGAGTGAACTTAGAAATTGTGTGACAATGAAGCAGAGGTCAAAGTTATGTTTGGATGTGACTATGAGCCAAAGAAAAAATTCAGGCAAACTAGAAACTTGAAAAGGCCAGGAAATGGCTTCATTCTGACAACCTGCGAAAGGAATGCAGCCTTATCATCATGTTGCTCTTAGCCCAGTGACTTACAGAACAGCAAGAGAATAAATAAATATATGTTTTAAGTCAGTTACATGACAATTTGTTATAGCAGCTGAAAGAAACAAGTACTTACACAAAGACCTCAAAATACTGGCATATAAAATGTGCATAATAAACGTTACTCATTTTTGTTTCCATTACTCCTGTCAGTCATTCTGGAAGACGTCTGCAGAAAAAAGGGCCCAAACACACATATTTCATATCTCAGCCTTCCAATTTCCACAGAGTTAAACATATTAATGGTGGTGACTTTGACAAAAGATGTCCTGGATATGACTTCTGGCTTATCTGTGTTCTAGAACATGTTCTGAGTTGTGCTTGCCTTTACTTTCCTTTTCTTTATGTAGAGTTATTGAAATCTATCCCTAGGATTACTTTAAGGAATTAAATGATACATTGTGGGGAGAATTCTTGGTATATGGTTGGTGCTCAATAAATGATAGTGGTTAACATTTATTGAACACTTGCTGTATGAAAGAACATTTGTGAACACTGCAATTTTTATTTTTATTTACTTAGTAGCTACTATTTTAAAAATTATTATAAGCAACATGTAATACTTGTATCTGTTTTTGAGGAATTGGCATATATATATATATATATATATATATATATATATATATAAGATACAGTACCTTCATCATTTTTGATCTTCTTACTTTTGCTGTCTTCCTTCCTTCATTCTCTTTCCCAGTTCTGAAATGTCTGTATTTTTTCCTATTGTCTCTATTTTATTTTACTCTTTCATTTATTTATATTTTGGGGCTCACATGTAAAAGAAACCATGTGAAAGTTGGTTTTTTGCATCTGATATTTTTAGTTGACATTATGGTCTCAAGTTATACCTATTTTCCTGCAAATTACAATTTAATTCTTCCTTATAGCTGAATAATATTCCACTGTGAACACATACACCACAATTTCATGATCCATTCATCTGTTGTTATGTATCCATTCTGTTTCCACGGCATAGTTATTGTGAGTTGTGCTGCTATAAATATGGGTATGAATGTATTGCTATAGTACGGGTGGCCTTAACTCTTTAGGGGACTATATCCTGTAGAAGTACACATGGGTCAAAGAGAATTTCTGAACACTTTTAAAATTTATTACTTAATCATCACAAAACTTTGTAAGGCATGCACTACTGTTAGTCTGATAGAGAGAAAGCCAAGGCATGAAAAGGTAACACCCAAATATGAAGAACCATGGCTAAATTAGGCAATATGAAGAGCCATTCAGTCATCATATCAAACTTCCATATTATCATGGAGATGCCTTCCCACAGAGCAAGTAAGGTCTTGACAGTGTTAAATGCAATCTTAAACTTAAAGCTTATCAACTGCAAAATACTGTACCTGTGATTGTTACTAACCACACTGCCTTTGGCTCAACAGGATTGATCAGTTTTCATGAACAAAGTGAATAATTGGCACCTCTCTTAGGTTGACTGAAGAAGCAAGAACATAAACCTCTTTAACGTTCACAGTTCTCTTTGTGCACAACAAAGTCTACTCCAAAGTTAATACTTCAACTACATGTTTAAAAGATTGCCATTGGACTTGACCTGATTCCTCAGCCATTTATTACGGTCTTACCCAGTACACCAACATGTTTCAAAAAATTTTGTTTGGCTATTAAACAAGGATCATAGTATCTCATTTTCTAAAGATGTGTCAATGATAAAAGACCACAAAATTTTAAAAAATTAGTTGTACAAGGACATTTATAATAGCAATAAGAAAAAATATGGCAAAGCATCAAGAGGAACCAGATATGATTTCTGCCTCCAACAGTCAGACGTAAGACATGAGCACCAATATCTATCAACTAAAATGAAAATTGATAGTAGCAACCACAGGGAGTAGTGAGGCACTGACCAGGGACATAGGAAGCAGCTTATCACACAGGCTCTGCTCTCTGGTTCTCTGAAACCAGCAGTACTACAGTAGAGTGGTAAGAAACAATGGTATTAAAAAAAACACACACATCACTCATATAGCAACTGGATGGTCTCAATCATTTCACCCTCTGAATTCTAGTTTTCAGTGATTACTTTTGTAAAGTAGATAATCCAACAATAAAAGCTATTATGAGAAATACAAGAGCTCATGGGGGTAAGGTCATTGGAATATTAGGTGTCTTCAAGATGTTGATTCCTTGCTCCTTGTTAGTGAGTGGTTTAACGCCTGAAACAAATCTCATGTAAGTCCTCCCTTTCCTCCCCCACAAATTCCTCTTTTATTGCATTTACGCTGCTTTTAGAGGGAAAAATGACAGGACATCAAGGACATCTATTTGAGTCTGAGCTTTGTTTTTCTTAAAATAAGGAGAATATGTTTTCAAGTAGATAGATAGTACAAATAATCGTTGAATGATAATAATCTTAGTCCACTATGAAGAATTTAATAGGCAAAATATTCACTCTAATTCTGTTTTCCAAAAACTTAGGACACAGATAAGATTACATCAATCACATAATCTGCCTTCACCTACTTCAAATTTTTTAACAGAGAAAGGAACGTGTCCCCAATTCCTATTTGCCCACTTCCTCTGGCTTTTTTCTCTTAGAGTCAATATGGTGGCTACCAGCCACATGTGACTCAAGCTCTTGAACTATGGTAAGTCCAAATTGTCCTATGTTGTAAGAATAAGATACTGATTTTTGAAGGAAAAAAAAAACAGAAAAGAAAGTACATTATCTTATCAACAATATTTTTGTATTTATAATGTATTAAAATAGATCATGACTTCCATAAAATATATTATTAATACTTGATTCTTTTCACCTTCCATAAAATATATTATCATACTTGAGTCTTTTTACCTTTTTCAAAAATATAACTATTGTGAAACTTACAAGTCTGTATGTGGCTGGATTTAGATTTCTCGTGGACCTTCTTTTCTTGCTGTGGAGACCTCAGAGTCCAATTCTCACACATCCACTGGTTTTTGTACCTTTGAGAGAGTCCTTCTTGGCTCTAGTTCTCTCTCTTCATAAATGATGTTTTAGATTCTGATCTCTGCATAATCCAGAGATTGGCCAAATGATTTTGGCCACAGTTTATCTTTATGACCCAACAGTGGCTCTCCCAAAAATGTTCCCTGTAAGTAGTTATTATGAGAAGGCAGTTTGAACGGGATCACTCTGCATCTAGTTAACAATGTCCATGATCTCATGCATATACATGAGGCCATTAAATTCAATCATGTGTAGATGATGGGTTCTTGCAGGGTCTTGGGTCAAGGACAAGAATGTTTATGAAATAGAAAAGCACATTCCTGGATACTCAGCTATAAGGATGTGGAGAGCTTTCAACTGATTAATGCTAGCCCGAGAGCTCTAGAATTTTTTATAGAGAAGGTAGGAATGAGAGAATTGAACTCAGCTTTCTGAAATACATTGTCCAATTTGTCCTAATTCTTAAACATTTTATTATCATCCTGATATGTTTTGGAAACACCTGTAAGCTCCCTCTTGATATCACTCAAGATACCAAGACTACAGTTGATCCTGAATAGCACTCCCTGGTTTTATGGATGAAGAAACAGAGACACAGATGTGCTAAGTACTACTAAAGTCATACTGTAAATTGGTTTAAAAGTGATACATGAACCAGTGTGACAATAAGTCACCTTTATGCCATGTTTTCATTTTGCAGGCTTGGTTATTTCTAGAATAAGAGGCTTCAAAGTTTGGTTTTCACTTCCCTTGTCTGTATTTTTCTTTCTTTCTTTCTTTCTTTCTTTCTTTCTTTCTTTCTTTCTTTCTTTCTTTCTTTCTGATTCCTTTGCTGTTTTTCAGGCTCACCTGTCATTCTCTTTTACCTTCTCTTTTCTTCTGCCCCTCTTTCTTCTCCTGTTCCTGTCTCCTTTCCTCTTCTTTATATTTCTGTTATTCTGTTTCTCTTTCTCCCTGCATGCTTCTTTCTTTCTATGAACTCATTATTTTAAAATAGCCTATGTAGTGGGAACGCCAGAGAAAATTTCAAATACAGACTATAGAATGACTGCTATGATAAAGACAAAAAATAGCAAGGCTAGGCTAGTGAAGATGTGAACGAAGGGAGTTCCTGTACACTGTTGGTAAAAATGTAAGTTAACGGTCTCATTTCTGGTGTATACCCAAAGAAACTGAGATCAGTCAGCCAAAACACATCTGCACTTTCATGTTCACTGTAGCATAATTTGCAATAACCAAGACACAGAGGTAACCTAGGTATCATTATTGGATGAATGGTACAGAAAATGGGACTTATATTTTCAAGTGAGTCTTATTCAATTTTAAGAAAGCAAGAAGGGCCAAAGTTCCCAGTGGAGCCATCACTTGACTCTGGTACCAACCTTCCCCACCTCATCTGAAACTCTCTCCCACCCCATGACTCCCTCTACTGACTCTGTTGTTAAAGCTATACCTGTGATCCCCCTGGAGATCTTTAGCAGTTAACAGGAGCATCAATCACCCCTCTCTCACACACAGAGGTCCTTAGTACCCAGAGCAACACCTCCTTCCACCAGCAGTACCTCAGTGGGATGGCAGAAGCATCAGTAACCTCTCCCCCCACAAGAAGACTTCAGTGGGCCAGCAGGAGCATTGGTACCCTGTCACCCTATGCAAGGACCTCAGTGGACAGGTGAAAGCATGGATGAGTCTTCCTCACAACCAGAGGACTTCAGTGGGTTGGCAAGAGTCTCAAGAGACCCCTTTCCCACCTTAAAGACTTCAGGCAGGTGAGGGCACAGGTGAGTCCTCTTCACATGTGGAGGACCTTGGCAGGCCAGCAGGAGTTTGAGTGAGGGTTCCTCCCTCCTACCCCACCCTGAGGAACCTGACTGGTATTACAAGAACCCAGTGACACAGTAGGGCCATGGCTGGGATGCACATCATGAACAGGTGGGTCTGGCATCCTAGAAGAGTATGAAGTCACAATAACAATATGATCATTGTTGGTTCACATCAATAGTTCTCGGCTAGTTGGCCCAGGAAAAATCCAGGACTCATCCAATTGGTCCCACAGGAGTAATTCAGGGAACCAGTGCCTCCCCTATATTGTGGGGCCCGGCAACTGAGTGAACATCAGCCACACAGTAGAATCCTAAGAAACAAAATGGACAGTCAAGACAAGTTGGATAAAAAGACCAAATAATAATCAAGAGATCAAAGTGACAAAAAAAAAACTCCACAAAAAAGTGAAATCTCAAACCACCAGCCCATCTGGGACAAGTACAGGAGATATCACTATAGAAGATAGCAGAAGTCATACACCTGAAATTTCTGAAAAGCTGGCAAGTGAAGCAAAGAAATAAATCCATGAGGTTATAGAGGAAATTAGATCAGAAATAATCTCTTAGAAAAAAAAAGAAATGACAAGTGCCATTTGTGGACTGTGAAAGAAAGGAACTAAGAAGCAAGCCCTCCCTGAGAGCTGGCATCATGTGGGGCTGCTGCGGGGACAGCCAGATGCCAGCTTTTCCCCATGGGTCAGCATCATTCATGGACTTCAGATGAAAAGAACAAGATATCACCAAGAAATAAGCCCTGCCAGAGAATTGGCATCATTTGCAGGCTGGTGGGGGAAGATGCTAGCCTTCTCCCATGAGTCAGTACCATTCAGGGACTGTGGGTAAAGAAACAAGCAGTTCTTGTGAATCAGTGTCCTGCACAGGCCACTGGGGGAGATCCAGATGCTAGTCTTTTACCATGAGTCAGTGCCATTCATGAACTGCAAAGGAAGAGAATGAAGTCACAAAGAAGCAAGCATTCCCTGTGGGCTGGGAAACAATAAAAGCCAATCCCTTACCATAAGTGACCAGCTGGTTCAGAGAAATGCAGGCTGTGATGATGGCTATTGAGGTGGATATAGTTTAATGTTTGTAATGTTTAGTGTTTCACTGGCTTTGCAGGTGTAAAGCTGGTGATCTAATCATCTATTTACAGGATGTCAATACTCAATGGGGGTACCAATGGACCAATACTCTTCTGAGGGTGTTGACCATTGTGGATTCCCTATTGTCTTGTTTTGAAGTCCTGTATCATTTTCATTGTTTGGTTAGGTTGGATTTTGTTCTGTTTTGTTTTTTATTCTGTTGTATCTGATGGCATGGGAAGCTATTTCAAAGATAACAAGATACAGTACAGTGGCCATTTTGGATATACTATTATCTTGTTTTGAAGTTCCTTATTGCATTCATTGTTTTGTTTTTATTGGTTCTGTTCTTTTCTGCTTTGATTTTTACTATGTCTGAAGGTATCTGCAGGTATTTTGAAGACAGCAGGAGGCATTATGGTAGCCATTGTTGATTTCCTATTGTCCTGAAGTCCTGTGTCACTTACACTGGTTTGTTTTGATTGACTCTGTTTTGTTTTGCTTGGTTTTATTCTCTTTCAAATAAAAAATGAATGACAAACTTAATAAAGGATTAATTAGCATAGCTAGAGAAGACATAGACAAAAAGAACAACAGCATAGGGAAATGATGGAAGCCTTGAATGAACAATGTAGGAAGGAAATAGAATGCATGAAAAAGATTCAAAGAGATATACAGGGAATTAAAAATTCCATTGAATGCAGGCAAAACTGCTTGAATGAAACTAAAGGTAGACTTTCAGAACTAGACAGGACAGAAAAGAACTTTTAAAAATAACAAGGGACCATGAAGAAACAATTCAACAGCTACAAGATGATACAAAGAAAACATATGCATTGATAGATATCAATGAAAAGGCAGGAATAAACCTAATAGACATTATTAAAAAACTATTCATGGAAATAATAATGGAAAATTTCCCAAGTATGGGAACAGAATCTGATATACAGATAAGTGAAGTATATATAACTCCACACAGCCATAACCAAAATAAATCTACACCCAGACATATAATAATTAAGATCCCAGACATACAGCATAAAACCAGAATATTAAAAACTGTTAGAGAAAACAATCAGATCCCTATCAAGGAAAACCCACTAGAATAATGGCTGACTTCTCAACACAAACTCTTAAGTCAAGAAGGGATTGGAGTGAAAATTTCAAGCTCTGAAGGAACACAAATTCCAACAAAGAGTGATGTACACTACAAAATTATATTTCAACATTAATGGGCAAATTATGCTTCCATTACATATAACAACTGAAGAAATTGATGTCCACAAAATTAACACTAGAAACAGTAATGAAACATACTCTAGATTGAAATAAAAATGATCAGCATTATCAGAACAACAACAGAAGGAAACAATTAAGCAGGGAGAGCAATTTAACACAGGGAAAAAGTAGAGAACTAACAGCAGGAAAACAACAAAGAAAAACCAAAACATATCAGTTATAACCATTAATGTCAGTGGTCTCAATCCATCAATTAAAACAAAGAGAATGGCAAAAGGCAACAAGAAATAAGATCCAACAATACACTGAATACAAGAAACACATTCAACTCAGAAAGAAACTCATACACTGGAAATCAAGGAACACAAAACAATATTCCATGTGACAGATATTCACAAAAAAGCAGGGGTAGTTATTCTGTTTGCAGAAATGCAAACTTCAAACCAAGAATTATAAAGAGAGATAAACAAGGTCAATACATACTAGAAAAAAATTGAAGAGAAAGACATAATAATCATAAATATATGTGCACCAAATATAGGAACACCTAACTATGTAACATTTATAATGTATGTAATATTTATATTAATAGAAATTATAACATGCAACACAATTGTAACAGGGAGCCTTAACACCTCACTATCACAAAGAGACAGATCAACTAGACAAAAAGTAAGCAAAGAAATAATACAACTAAATTAAACCTGTGAGCAAATGGACTTAATAGATGTTTACAGTGTTCCACCCAACAATGTCAGAATACACACTCTTCTCAGTTGTAATGGGATTCTCAGCTGTAATTCTCTAAATTCTCAGCTGTAATTCTCTAAAACAGATAATATACTAGCTCATAGAACATGCTTAAGAAAATGCAAAGGAATTGAAATTATCCCATGCACATTATCTAACCATAGTGCACTGAAATTGAAAATTAATGGCAAAAGAAATTGCAAGAACTTCGCTGCATAAACGTATGCAAATTAAATAACACCAC